CCTCAGGCTATTTTCTGAACATCTACGTTTTCAGTGTATAAAATTTGAAAATGCATTAGGGAAGGAGTAGTTAGTGTAATAGACTAATGCCCACTTGAAGCATCATACTATCTTATCTGGAAAATTAAATCTGATTACAGCTTGGATTAACATTTATGGTCTGGGAAATGTAAGATCGTATCTCAAACTCCATGAAATTGAACAATGAGATGATATCATTTGTAGTTAATTTGAAAGGGCAGATTTTTATCACTGTGAGCTTAAAATGTGTTTGATATTTTGTCTCACGAAATATCCTAGAGATAATGACTGCGTAAATCAAGAAGGCATTAAATGTAATGTTTGCTGCCTTTATACCTAGCGCGTTAAAAGTGAAAGCAGCATAAACTCCAGTGTCTGCAGCTACATTGGCAGTTACTCTTAAATTTCCTAATAGAGCTTTGGTTATAGAAGGTTGTAACATTAGGTTAGTAAGCAGTTGTTCTGCCTTTCACTGAAAATGAAATCATTGTGTTATTCAATAATCAGTTCAAAACGTGACATGCCTTGACCCTTCCAATGGAGTCACTGGTGTGACAGAGAAAAACGGGAAAATTATTTGGCAAGAGGTGTGTGTGTGAGTGTGTACACATACTAGTTACTGATCTACAAATGAGCCCTCATACATAACCACAGCACTTTTATGAATTATTTTGCATTTCTGTTGTAAAAGATCTGTCTACCACGTTTTCTAGGAACTTTAAGCCTAAGGCAGAACTCAAGGTTTTGGAGCCTGTGTAAAATAATTTATAGCACCTTTCCAGTAACTCTTGCCCAAACTCTTATTCTATTAATTCAACATCCTGTGGCAATCTGGTATATCTTAAAGATTTAAAAGTATGTTACAGTAGAAGACTAGAGAACATGGACCTTTGAGATGGAAGAAAATAAGCTTTTTTTTTTTTTTTTAAGTAAGACATTTGTTCTGGGCTCACTTTTTCATCTGCTGTGAAGACATGGTCTTCTAAGCACTGTCATGGTCTGTGCCTGGATGAAACAGTGCTGTTGAGAGAGAGTCCTGTACTGTGAAATGTCTATGTATAATATGGGAAGGCTTCTCGTGGCCTGCAGTGGAATCTGTGCCCGCGTGTATGGCTGGGGCGGGGAAGCAGGGGCCCAACATATTGACCCGACACCGTGTGAAGCCTTGTTGGAGGGCCAGCTGCCTCTTTCAGGCTTCTGTGGGTGAAAGATGTATGTCCTCTATCGACCATAAGTCTTGCTCGGCGGGTATTTTAAATATCATTTTTTTTTTTTTTGTTCAAAAGTATTTTCTTGGGAGATGATGAAGTTGATTTTTAAGTTTGTAAGAATTTGTCATTTGGAGGAAAGTTGCTGAGGTGTGCCATGTATCATGTGCTTAATTTTCTGTCTGAGGCCCAAATCTTAGAGAAAAAACTTGACATTCACCAATAACTGTTCTCCCTGCCAGTTGCCTAAGCAAGTTGTTGTTACTTTTTTCCACAGTCGTACTCTCATTGCAGATTTTTGTGTTGAAAGTTAGCTGTTTGGTGACACTGCATTTGGCGGTGAGGGTATGAATGTGAGAAGGTGTTTTGGAACATGAGCAATTACAGCGTTCAGTGGTGGATAAAGAAATAGATATATAAGTATTAGATGCAGTTTTCCAGTGTATGTTATTTTCCATATAAAGATATAGAACATTTCATAAAATGTTCCCAGACCATTTAAAACTCAAAGAAATGCAGCTGATGCAATGAAATACATAGAGTACTTGTAAAAACACACAGACACGCAGTGGGTTGCTGCCAGACAGAAAATTTAAAGGCGGTTTGCTTAACTGCAGGGTGCGAGGTTTTGTACGTGTGCCACGCTGAAACTGCTAGTGAGGCGGGTGTTGTACTGCTTGAGAAAAGCAGATTGTGCTTGGACCCTTTTCACTCAGATGTTTCCAGGGTCGACATTTTGGTGACATTATAGCATTATGATCGACTCAATGTGCAAGAGGAAGCTATCAACTTACCATGCAAAACAGACATTTTAAAAGAAAATGCAAACTATTTTCAGTTCTTGGTGCAGTTTTACAAAATGGCTTTCATAGTTTTCTGAACTATCAGGCTGGATCTTTGAGCTCATTGAATGGAATTTTATAGGGTGAACTTTGGTGTTAAAAAGCATTGCCTTTTTTGTTTGTTTGTTTGTTTTTTTTAATATTGCTTTAAAGAGTGTTAAGAACCCACGAGGTTTGCTTTTATAAACCTCAAGGACTTAAAAGAAGGAAATCAAAAGTCTTATGCGTGAATCATAGTAAATAATAATGCATATGTTACCTTGGGGCATGATGCTGTTAAGATCTGGCATTCTCACTCTGGGGTTAGTCTTAGGACAGTCAGAGGGGTTTAGTTGTGGTGTTTATTACGTTACTGACCACCACGCAGAGTTTAGGGTAACATGGTTGGAATGAGCCCCATGTTGGCATTCAGTGGTCTCTATCTTCAGTGTGTTAAAATTGGTTGATTTTCTTTCCATCCATGTTTCCTTCTCTTTTTTCGATTCTCTGTTGTATATATGCATAAGGTGCATTTTAAAAATAAGTTAATTATTAGATTCTTACTAACATAGTTGGTTAAAGAGATTTAAAAACCTTCCTTCTATCTATGACTAAGATACTTTTTTGATGAAAGAATGTATCCATATTTTGGTGTCTGAGATTCAGCCCCTTAGGAAATGGTGATAAAATGTAAAGTCTTTGATTTTATTCCATCTTTATTTCCATTGATTTTTTTTGCGTGTGTGTGGCTCTTCAGAAGCACAAACTACTGTAAGAAAGAGGACATGATATTAAAGATTTATTGGTGAGTCATTTCTGTGAAGTTTTCTGGTTGAAGAGCAAGTGTTAAGTACATGACAATTGGAAGAAAAAGAATAAGCCACATGTTATATTGGAACTTTTCTAACTCTTGTTTTACACTATCCTTCAGTGAGTTGGAATGGCCTTTTTTTTTTAATATCAGAACCAAATTTTGAATTGTAATATTCCTTTTTTTTTTCCCCTGGACCAAGCCTTGTATGTGTGTTTTAGGGATTGTCGTTTATGCCCTTTTTCTAGCCCCCTCCCTTACCCACCCCTCCAGCACACCCTTAAGGATTTATTGGACATCTGGCTTTTACTTTGCTTCCTGCTCCCTAATTCTTCTCTGTAGACCCCGTGTTCTTCATGCCACCCCGTTAGCACCTCTCACCACCAGTGTCCAGCAGGCTGAATCCTGTGGTTTCCACTTCTCAGACCAGAGAGCAGCGATGACACCATCCTCTGGTCCATCGGGACTTCCTCTGGGCAGCGTAGTACCGCAGGGGTGAGGATGCCAGGATTCTGTTGGTCACGGCAGAAACACGTCCTTGGCCCCTTCTACTATTAGAAGATGACTGTAAACAAAGACACTGATGCTCCATTTTTAAAAAATATTTTATTTTATATAATTCTTACATCATGTTTCATTTTTACACAATGTATGCATTTTCATTTTGGTTATATTCCCCATATAATTGCACCCCCTTATTTTGACCCTAATCCTTCCTCTTCGCGCCCCCCGCCCCCCACAGTGTGTCTCTGGTTTATAGTTGATGCTCCGTTTTTAAGTCAACCAGAAGACACTTCAAGAACCAAAATGGTCTGTAGGTAGCCTCAGCATTTTTGCACCACCTGTTTGGGAAAGTTTTGCTCTTTGGTGTGACTTCTGTATGTTGCAGCCATTGATGTTAGTCTTTCTTGGGTTTTAAAAAAATAACATCTGTGGACTTTAATGATTTGATAACTATGTCTGTAGGATTTAAATGTAGTATGAGAATAGGCCCTTGGTTTTCTCCCTTTTTGATTCTTCATTGCAGAGCACTTAACAGTATTTTATGTGGAAGCTTTTAACTTTTGGATGGATTCACGTTCATGGAGAAGTAAATTCATGTTTTAAAAGATAGATGTGAAAAGTGAGAAAACTATATTCTGATCACTGTGAGAGGGAATCCTCAGATTATGTGCTTTTCCATTAGCTTGTTGCATTGATACATGATTTCTCAAATAGGTAATATTCTAATCACTCCCCTTCATGTGTCTCTGAGGAACCAAATCTTTTTCTTATTAGGAAAGATTGAGTGTTTTCCTAATCGATAGCAAATGGAGTGCTAATAGCTTTTAATCAGTACACTTTGTATTGACTTGAGGACGAAGGCATTGGATTATTTTGAAATTAGGATGGAGGAATTAAGTGCTTCTTCAGTGATTCTGTTTTAAACAGATGGCCATGAAAGGTATTCTCACCTATATATTTTTATCCTTTCTGAGCAAGACTACTTATGTTAGGTAGAACATAATAGATCGTGGTATTTTGTTTCCCCTGGCAAGCTAAAAGTGTATTGTTTGCTTCTATTTTAAAGATAACTTCATCTAGTTCTATCTGTATTTTCAAGAGTTCATGAGTATTCTGGGAAGGATATATTTTATTTTTAAAAACTGAGAGTTTTGCATTTGTTCCTTGAAAGAATTCTTCTCAAGCTCCCCTCTTCCCCCCACTCCCTCCCACCTCTCCCCATCTCCACACGCAATCTGAAACTGGTGTTTAAGGTGGTTTATGAAGCCACATCTGTAACTATGAAAAGGAGGCTTCTGATTAGAGGGAAAAAAAGTCAAGCAGGTTTAAGACTCATTTTCTCTGGAAAAATATATTGAAGGCAATTTGCAGCTGGCAAGGTTTTTGCATTAGGTAACAGTCTAAAGTTAACAGTAGCATCAGGTCTTTAAGATTTTTCTTTTTTGTATTTCTGGAGGAGGGTAATAGGAGTGCCTTGCTGAGTCTTTCCTTGTGCTCATCAACATAGCAGCCTCAGCTGCCCCCCTTGGATCCCCTGCCAGGGCTGCTATCATCTTCTGATCAAATATTAATGTGTGATCCTCTGCTTGCTCACTAATCCAAAGCCAATTAATATTATCTGTCAATTATTTACAGATCCTGAGGTGCAGAGGCAATTCCCGGAGGACTACAGTGACCAGGTTCGGAATGCGTAATTAATTTTTTACATGACAAAATTTATTTCAGAGTTGTTCAACATATTATTACTGTTCTTTTTACTGAAGAGATAAATGAATTTTTAGAAGGGAAGAAAAACAGTAATTAGGAACCCAAGACAAAAAAGTAAAACATACTGAAATGGGCTTGAAAAGATTGGTGCTAGATTTGGGGCATTACTTTCAGGGGAACACCCCAGAAAGGAAGAAAATCTATCAGAAATTTTACTTTTACTTTGAGGTATGCTGCAGCCTGCGCTTCATTAGTAAATCCATTTTGATTTGCCGATGAACTTTTTTTATTAATGCTATCTTTGCAGTCAAGAGCCAGTGTAATGAAAAAGGAGGGAGGAGGGAGTTCAGTACATTTCCTGGAATTGGAAATAGATTATGAAGCGGTGTTATGGTAGCACTCAAAGGAGAAACTGCACACACGGGAATGATCTTTAGGGTGAGGCTGTTCTAATGATGGTAGTGAAAGTTAAGCTTTCCCAGTTGGTCCTGCCATCTTGAATTTCTTGCATTCTGCAAGCATGCGGTGGAGTGGAAGGAACTCTTTTACTTACAAAAAGAGCGTAGGAATTCTTATGTTGCTCTGCTCTTTATAATAAGATCCAAGTTATGCATTCAGGATTCCTGTTTCTACCTTGAGAAATATTAGAGATGTTTTGTAGCTTTCCTGGTTACCTTACATTTTTTAGCTCAAATATGTAATTTGGTGTGCTTTATAAAGCCATTTTGAAATAAAAGCATCCTTGATTACACTAAATAAAACAACTTTATAAAACCTTTCACATGGGGAATAATGTATACAATAAAAACATGTTTTTCAAGTACAACCATTTAATTTTGTTTATTAAAAAAATGTCCTTGAATGGGGATAAGTACAATGGAATAGAAATATCCTGTTCTCCAGAGGGCAATGTATCTGATACAGCATTATGAATACAGGGTACATAATATGACCAGGAATATAACTGGATAACCAGTGTAATCAGATGCTTTGTAATGAGATTTTTATTGTATAAGAACCCACGAGAAGGAGTATGGTTTGCTTTGTGTATCACTTCAAGGCTTTTTAAAAATTTTTTTTAAAGATTTATTTATTTATGCATACAAGAGCTGAGGTACAGGCCAGAGATGCAGGGCGGTGAGAGGATTGACCAGAGACAGAGAGGGAAACAGAACAGGCAGACTGACTGAAACACACTGCCGAGGGGAGCAGTAGGCGAGTCAGGAGAGGTCTGCTGCGCCTTGTGGGTAGCTCCCTGGCCGGCCAGGGATCGAACTTGTGCTGCAGAGGCTGTGGATTGCTTCACAGTGCGGTGCTTAACCCCTTGCGCCACCAGGAAGGACCAAGACTTTTAAATGAGATTAAAAAAATGTGAATCTTCTCACTCTACCCTTTGCTTCATCATCCAAGAGGAGAGTTAAATTTTTATCTTGACTTAAATTGCTATGAATGGAGCCCATTGAATTTAATCTATACAATAAGAAGGTTATAGGACTTTGTAATGAGTAATGATTCTATTTAGACATGTTTAGATAATATCTAATGGGGAGAAAATGTTAAGGTATTATTTAAAATAGGGATTTGAGGCCATAATTCTTATTGAAATCATCATTCTAAAATCTTGTCACTAAACAACTTCTCTGGTGCCATGATATGAATCACCCAGTGAGAGAAAATTTTGCAGGGGGAAACTTGAAATAACACCACTGATATCTGTTTCTGGTCTTTTAAACATAGTTTCTTACCATATCTGAAAATGTTTGTGCAACATGATTTTTTGGGGGTATAACATTAAAAAAAATCTCATGTTAAGATAAAAAAAATTAGGAAATACAGATTAAGGCAGAAATAAATAAAGGGATAAAGAGGAGAAAATGCAAGTCATCTGTAACTTTATGACTCAGACAACTACTGTCACGATTTGGTGTTCATCTTTCTGTGTTTCCTTCTCTGGGTGTCTGCATGTGTTTGTATGTTAGGGAGAAGATCTGTGTCTCTGGACAGGTACTAATACATATGTATGTGTATGTGTTTGAGGAGAGAAATGTGGATTTATCAGTTCTGACATTGCAGGTGGAGCTCAGATTAGATACAGTTTATGTTAGGAACTTTGTTCTATTTCTTATACTGAAGTTGGAATCTTTTAAAATTACAGAAGGAACCTAAACGGTAATGATAGCTCTTAGTTATTCCCAAGTGCTCACTGGATAGGTATTTCTTTTCTTTTGATCAGTGACATAATTTTAACATTTGGAGGAGGAGTTTTCCTTTTAGATGAGCCTTTTGAGAGTGTATATCCCTGCCTGATTCAGCTTCCCTTCCAACTTGACACATGTGGGCTCTTTCTTTACTGCATGTAACTCAAGGGTGAATGAAAGATCAACTTTGTTTTTGGAGACATTCCATCCAAATTCCCAGACATTTGTTTGGAGGTTGATCTACAGGTAAAAGAAATGACACCTGCATTTCTTATTTACCTTTTACATCATTTGGGCTCTGATCTTTCGATGTTTTTGCTTCTTTGCATTTGTTGGATTGAACCAAATTATCTTTCCCTCTGGTGTACTATTATAAAGGAATTAGAAATCTTTCTATTATATAAAACATTTCATTTAGACAACATTTCTATTATTAAATTGTTTTATGATGTAACCCATAAGGGATAGGTGAGATAATTCACCACAAAGTGTAGCACTTATTACTCTACACACATGCCTCCCCCTCCCCAAGTTTTCTCCCCATTCACCTAAACTACCAGTGCTTGTTTTTACATATAGTGTATTTCCCATGTAGCAGCACACTTGATCAGAGATGCTTGCTGCTGCTAGATGTTTTATTCTGTGTGTTCTTTGTACCTTACAGTAAAAGAATCTGTCACAAATTATTGTGGCTCACTGCTTTAGAAACTGAGAAAAAAGGGAGGTTAGATTGACATCTGTGACTGAATAATGATGACCAGCCTTTTGGCTCTCCTTGAGCCACAAAGCTAGCACTGCCTTTAGAGTGGAAAAAGAAGTAAGAAGAAAGGGGAGGGATAAAAGAGAGTTACAAATCTGTGGTCCCGGAGATGCATTACTGTTGGACCAGTTGTCTGCGTGGTATGATAATCCATTTTGATCTTCTCTGTCTTAATTGTCTGCTAAAGACAAATGGGCAGTAAAAGTTCATCAGTTTCATCTTTTTGCTTCTCGTTTAGAAGCAGAATAAATGATCCATCACTACAGAAGTAGCCTTTCTTTCTGACACAGAAGTAATGCAGACCCAACACGTTTTATTAAAATGTTTTCCCCTCATTATTTCAGTCCTCTCAGCTCCGATAGATCTTGCTAGTTCATAAAAAATGTAATCTGAAATGTAAATAAGGGTCTTGATACAGAAGGAAGAAGTAATGAGCAGCCCCAACCACATTTTAGGACTCTTGATTGTAATTACTGACAACGTGATTTCTCTCTGCCCTGTTTTTTTTTTTTTTTTCTTCCCTTCCTTAAGTTGTCTGTGACACCCTCAGACCGCAGTGACATCTATGGTTTAAAACCATTAAATCACTGTAGCACTCCATATTTCATTTAAAATCTGGCAAGCCTGCTATCTTTAAACCTGAAAGTACTGCTTTGTTAATTCCTGAAAGACATGCAACATGCCTATATTTTCTTAAAAAAGAAAAACAAACAACAAAAAAAAGCAAAAGCAAGGTCTTTTCAGAGTTCACATTATTTATTCATTTGCTTTTGTTTAATGCTTAGCTAGTTTAAATACTAAAGCATCAACACTGGTGGGATCCTTAACTTGAAAAGAATCCTGTATTTTGAAATACAGCCTTCTAACCACTTATGAATTTTTTTAAAAAATGGTTTGTTTCTTAAGTGTGCTATGAAATAGTCTAGATTTTCTTTTAGGGTTAGGATTACTAAAATATAGCTAGAATTTTTGAGTTGCTTTGATTTTGGTAGTTAATTCAGTTTTTTTCAGTCTCTTACTATATATATATATATATATATATATATATATATATGTTTAGATAATGTGGCTCTTCAAAAAACCAGTTTGGTAGACATTTTTTGCTTAAAGAACGGACTTTCTTTAATATGTTTTATTTCTGGAAATGGTTGCTCAAAGATATCAACATGTCAGTCTAATGGTAAAAGTACGAAATAGTCTTGAAGTTAATTAAGTGGATTTATAATTATTATGTTTACTGTATTCATTCATAATTATGGAAATAATTGATAAAACTTTACTCATTGTGATTAGTGCAATTTTAATGAATGCTAATTGAATTAAGAGAAAAAGAATGGTTAAATTAACATGTTAGCAAATTGTGGTCACTGCTCTATCTTTGGCTTTGAATCATTAAATGGTTTTTCAGATTTTAAAAATGAACCTTTAGTAATTATATCATGTAGATGAGCTAATTTGGAATAAAGATAGTCACCTATCAGAGAGAAGATTTCTGTAAATCATCTTATAATGTGTCAGATGTAACAGGCATTATATCCCATTACATATCATTTAAAAATATAGTTATATTATTTCTTGTACTAAAACAAATAGAATTAATAATTTGTTCTCACAATTGCCCTTTTTATGGCCTGTTTGTTCTGAGAGGTGATTAGAGTTGAATGTGCTAGAAGTTTCTATCCATTGTGCTCATCTGTATTTCAATGAAATATATTGAGTATCTTAGAGCTCTTTAAGTAGAGGGCTGAGCACACTTATCCAACCCTATATGTCCCTATATATGTAGATCACTGTTTAGAGTTGCAGGTAATTTTTCTTTCCAACTGAAACAGGTTATAATGAAACCAACAATTTTATGCATTTATAGAAACAATAAAAATTTTATGGAAAGTTTATATAGAAACTAACAGTGTTTCTTGTACAAGCTCTGTAAGCAATGTAGAAACACGGTACATTGGGGAAAATAAAAAGGTACCCTTTCTTTTATGGTTTTATATGATCTATGTGATTTTAA